ATCCTTACTGGTGTGAAGGGATATCTCATTGTGGTTTTAATTTGTATTTCTCTGATGACTGGTGATGTGGAGCATCTTTTCTTGTGTCTGTTGGCCATCTGAATTTCTTCTTTGGAGAACTGTTCAACTACTCTGCCCATTTTTTTTTCTTAGGTATTAACAATTTCTATTTTATTTAACAAAATGAAGAACTGTATGTTTCTTTTTGGTATTTTTAAAATTTTGTTATCATAAATTTACAATTACATGAAGAACATTATGTTTACTAGGCTCCCCCTTTCACCAAGTCCACACCACACACCCCATTACACTCACTGTCCATCAGCAGAGTAAGGTGTTATAGAATCACTACTTGTCTTCTCTGTGTTGCACAGACCTCCCCATAGCACCCGCTACATTATATGTGCTAATCTTTTCTTTTGCCCTTTCTTTTTCCCCACCCTTATCCCTTCCTTCCCTCCCATCTTCCCCAGTCCCTATCTCTTTGGTAACTGTTAGTCCATTCTTGGGTTCTGTGATTCCGGTGCTGTTTTGTTCTTTCAGTTTTTCTTTGTTCTTATACTCCACATATGAGTAAAATCACTTGGTATTTTTCTTTCTCTGCCTGGCTTATTTCACTGAGCATAATACCCTCTAGCCAATCCATGTTGTTGCAAATAGTTGGATTTGTTTTTTTCTTATGGCTGAATAATATTCCACTGTGTATATGTACCACATCTTCTTTATCCATTTATCTACTTATGGACACTTAGGTTGCTTCAATTTCTTAGCTGTTGTAAATAATGCTGCAATAAACATAGGGGTGCATCTGTATTTTTCAAATGGGCTGCTACCATTTCTTTATTTTCCTTTTCTTTCCTATCCCTGGAGAGCTATGTTCAGGAAGAAGTTGCTCATGGTTATGTCCAAGATATTTTCGCCTGTCTTTCTCCAAGAGTTTTATGGTTTCATGGCTTACATTGAGGGGTTTGATCAACTTTGAATTTACTTTTGTGTATGGGGTCAGACAATGATCCATGTGTCCTCCTTTTTTGCAGCCAAAATCTCTGGCTTTGGAGCTGTGATCCAAACCACCAGCTGCGGGACCAGTACATCAGGGTTTGGCAGCACCATCTCAGCGCCCTTCACATCCAGGGTGTCAGCAGGTCCCACTGGCAGTGGGGGCTTTGGGACAAGTGTGGATGCCCCCCACAGCCGCTCCACCACTGGGGCCTTTGGCTTTGACTCAGGACGGAGTGGGAGAACTGGTCTCAAGAACTCTTTCTGGGGAGACTTGAATCCAAACTCCCTGGGTGCAGCTGGCCAGAGCACACCCTCTGCTTTCCATGTGGCCAGCAGACCTCAGAAACCCCCTGGGTTTGCAGGTGAGATTTGGAATGCGTTCGGTCTGCAGTGCCAGGCGCTGTGTTAAGTGCTGACACAGTCTCCACTTTCGGAGCCGTATGCTGTGGTGAAGATTTAGATGTTATCACAGAAGTTATCTGTAAACAGCATCAGGTAGCAGTGTAACTCATAACTGGAGGAGCTATTTAGGTAGTCAGCGGTAGCCTTCCTGAGACAGTAGCAAACTGAGGCCATGGCTGCAGTTCCCGAGTTGGGAGTAGGGACAGTGACCGTGGGTGAGGACATTGCAGGGACAGGAGGAAAGGCTTGAAGGCAGAGATGAGCTTATGTTTTTATGAGCAGAGAAGAGCCAGGTGTGGCTAGAGGTTATAAAGGAAAGTGGGATAGAATGACATTAAGAGACAGGCAGAAAGGAAGATCATTCACGGCCTTTTAAAATGTTTTTTTTTTTTTTTT